GCCGCCGGGGCTCGGGCACCGGGCCGGGAGCCGGGCCCCAGAGTCCCCGCGAGCAGCGGCGGCGAGTCGCTTCCTGCGGCCGGGGATTGAGCGACCCCTGCGATCGCTCCCCCCCGCGCCTGCTGGGTCCTAGTGCCACGTTCCCCGGCAGTGACTGTCCCTGCCCACTGCCCAGAGCTCGGATTCACAATCAGCGCCAGGTCTGAACACAGCAGCTCGTGGAGACATAAGGGGAAACCGGAGAAGGAAAATGCTCAGCCCCTCGTGAGGCGGCGGAATCCGGGGAAGCAGAAACAACATCTCTGGCCTGTTCCCAGCCTGTCCCTCACCCATCCCAGCCCTGGTGCCTGGCCCTGGCAGTGCTGCTGCAGGTCAGACATATGCTGTGGTGGGGGCCACACGCCTGCCCCCATTGGGATGATGATCCTCCCCCTTCTCGGTCTGGCCTTGGCTGGGGGGGTCTCCCGCTGTGCTGAGCCCTCTGCTGAGGTCCCCCTCCACGCCTTTCCCAATCCTTGTTCCACTGCTCCAACTCCCCTCTCTGCCACCAACTCCCTGGACTGCTTCTCCACCCCTCTGGGACTGCAGCTCTGCTCCCAACCCAGGGTCTGCTCTCTGGGCTGTGTCCCTGACTCTCTCTGGCTGGCCTGGCTCTGCTGCCCAGTTCAGCTTCGATGCCTAATTTCCCCTTAACTCTGCCCCTCACTGTCTGAACCAGGCAAATCCAGCGTATATGGAAGACAGAATCCTACTCCCCTCATTCGCCAGACCGCCCTGTCAATCCAGCTGACCTGGACCAATGGGCCTTCATCCTTGCCCCTGGGGACTGCCAGGCTCAAAATCCTGATTTGTCATCAACTTTTCCCTTTCCTTTAGGTACTGGGTGCTAGTCAGCCATCCCCCCCTCCCCCACCCCTAACTATGGAGTTTCAGTAAGGGGCCAATAATCATCTTCCATTCACATTGCTAAAATACTGCCACAGCCACAATATTTACATCAGTACATCCAGGTGCCGTATTAACAACATATCTTATCATCATGCCATAAAAAACACAATAACAATTAACAAAAGAGCATCTAACATTCTGTGTCTGCTTCTTCCTGTTAGGCATGCTAGCCGTCATTAAAGTGTTACATACAACCGATAGCAGTGGCATCGCTAAATGTTACAGGCAGTGTGCCCTGAATAATTCTCTGGGACCTTCTTGAGACTAGTGGTTCATTATCATAAGATAACCAATGGTCCATCCAGCCCAGTATCCTGTCTGCCAACAGTGGCCAATGCCAGATGTCCCAGAGGGAGAGAATCATCACGTGATCCCTCTCTTGTCATCCATTTCTACTCATCCTGGCTAATAGCCATTGATGGATCTAACCTCCATGAATGTATCTAGCTCTTTTTTGAACCCTGTTAAAGTCCTAGTCTTCACCACATCCTCTGGCAAGGAGTTCCACAGGTTGACTGTGCGCTGCATGAAGAAAAACTTCCCTTTGTTTGTTTTAAACCTGCTACCTATTAATTTCATTTGGTGGCCCCTAGTTCTTATATTATGGGAACACATAAATAACTTTTCCTTAGTCACTTTTTCCACACCAGCCATGATTTTATAGACCTCCACCATATCCCCCCTTAGTCTCCTATTTTCTAACCTGAAAAGTCCAAGTCTTTTTAATCTCTCTTCCTATGGGACCCATTCCAAACTCCTAATCATTTTTTGTTGCCCTTCTCTGAACTTTTTCCAGTGCTGATATATCTTTTTTGAGATGAGGCGACCAGGTCTGTATGCAGTATTCAAGATGTGTGTGTACCATGGTTTTATATGGAGGCAATAAGATATTCTGTCTTATTCTCTATCCCTTTTTTACTGACTCCTAAAATTCTGTTTGCTTTTTTGACTGCTATTGTGTGGCACTGAGTGGATGTTTTGAGACAACTATCCATAATGACTCCAACATCTCTCTTGAGTAGTTATAGCTAAATTAGTCCGCATCATATTGTATAGGTGGGATTATTTTTTCCAATGTGCATTACTTTGCCATTTTGTTGACCAATCACTTAGTTTGGTGAGATCTTTTTGAAGCTCTTCACAGTCTGCTTTGTTTTTAACTATCCTGAGCAGTTTAATTTAACCACATTTTCATAATGACTCCAACATCTCTCTTGAGTAGTTATAGCTAAATTAGTCCGCATCATATTGTATAGGTGGGATTATTTTTTCCAATGTGCATTACTTTGCCATTTTGTTGACCAATCACTTAGTTTGGTGAGATCTTTTTGAAGCTCTTCACAGTCTGCTTTGTTTTTAACTATCCTGAGCAGTTTAATTTAACCACATTTTCTCTT